TGAGTGTAGTGTGGGGTGGGGGGGGGGGGGGGGGGGGGTACCAAGAATAAACACTTCCATCTGCCATCACTGGGCAAGACAGAAATTAAATACTGGTTTGTGTGGATTAAATGAAGCATTTCTAAGAACTGATAGGGAATAAAATTACGAGCCAATGTAATGGATTCTGCATCAATGAACTGATAACGAAAGGTTGTCCCTAGTACCTCATATTTGCTTCACTTTCTGCTTTTCCAAAGACTGCATGTGCAAAGCATGCAGCTGATGGTTTTAAAGTCAAATTACAGGGTAAGTAGTTTCAGTGAGGGACTGATTTTTAAATATTGTTGAGTTTTCTCCCAGCGCAAACTCTAGCTGAAGCCAACCGAAGTCACCAAACTGCAGAGTAGTCTGCAGCTCTTCTAGCCACTGGCTTTTGAACTGCTATGTTTGATTCACTGGCCAGAACAGAATAAGGCATAGTGGTTAACATGCCAGTGAGTCAATGGAAACACGGCTAAATTGCAACTCAGCACTGGCAACATCAGTGGAATTATATGGGTTGGAGCAATGGTGTGAAATGTTAGCAAAACAAGTCGCATGTAGCCTCAGCTTTGCTCCATGAACCAAGCAGCTGTGAACTGCAGAGCTGAATGAGCATTACTCAGAAACAAAATTCATGTATGTACACTATTCTCTTTTTTTTAACCTCTACAGGAATTTTCGAATCACAGTTCCTCCCACTCACAAATACCACCCATCTCCAAGATGACTAAAACCCATCATGTCCCTCCTGTAAGAAATTCTGCTTCTCTCTTCTATTTTTATAGAATCAGAATGAAGCATGAAATTTAATATTAAAAGTTCCCAGAAAACACAGAAACATGGAACTGTAGATTTTCAGGCAGCCCCTGGTCAGGACAAGTCTGCATTGCCACAACTGCTACAAGGAGTTGTAGTTCCACATCTCATGTTCACTATCTTCCCCACACAGCTTTTTCCCCCAGCCAAAACACTTATTGATCACAGTGCAGCATGGAAGTGCACCCTATCCACTAATTGGGATCAGGCAGGGTAGACTGTATGTAGGAAGTGACAACAGACACCTCAAAGCTTCACACACACGTCAAAGGTAGGCAGACTGTGCCTCATTCTTCATAGAGTCCTCCTCCCCCTTCTCATCCCTTCTTGCCCTTGATTTTGTGTGAGGCTTATGTGAGGACTTCCTTCCAAAGAATGGTGCTTATTAAAGGGTTATGTGAGGTGAGAATCATATACATATATAAAAAAAATAATGTAGTGCTTCCTGCTAAAACATCTTCCAGAATGCCTCTGAGGCATATACAGCAGTGTGCAGTGCTCCCAGATGTTCACTACATGTCTAAGGAAGCAAGAGGGAAAAAACCACACACGTCTGAGTTAGCTGAAAAACTCATGTGAGATAGTGCAGTTCAAGTCTGCACTCTGGTGCCCATCTATGTTTTTTTTAATCTTGAACTTCCTCTCTCTCTCTAGACTTTAGTTACTTACTGTCCCCTACTATTACCTAAGAGCTAGAGGAGGGCAGCTCCAAGGAAAGGGCTGTTCTGTGCTCTCTCCATAGCTCTCTTCCCCAGGCATCTGGGGCTGCTACAGCTGGAAGTGGGGCACTGAGCAGCTCCCAGCTGCCAGGTTCATGTGGATCTGCACTGGCTGTGAGCATGGACAACTAAAATATTGCTGCATTGTGCTCCTGGCAAAGAGCTCGACCCCCACTTACAGTTTTCTCAAACAAGGCTCCGCTACAAAAAAAGCCATTAGCTAAAGGCACAACAGCATCTGGTTGATGAGGGTGAAGGTAGATTTTGAGATCTGGGTCTGGTTACTAAAGGCACCTGCCTCCTGGGATGCTTACGCTCCTGCAAAGCAATGACCAGGCCTGATGGGTTTGGAGATCCCTAGAGTAGAGCAACTCCACTGTTACCCACCACAGATCTTCCCTCTGGTAATATCAGCAACAGAATAAAAGCTCATATACATTTTTTTTGTTTTGTTTTTTGCACATGGCCCGAATGGGGAAGAGGGGTAGTGAAAAGAGTGGAGTAGAAACTTGCAGCAAGAAACAGTCTCTGGATCCTTTGTGGTGATTTCATTGGAAGAGACAGGATCTGAATCTGGAGCCATTCCAGGGGTCATACATTTCACTAGTAATACAGCATAGGCAACATATGCATATATAGATTATGTTAGATTGACTTTGGTCTGTCCTACTTATTAAAACATGCCTAAGTCTCACAGTTTTCTACTGTACTTGTACAGGTCAAGTACACAGTTAAGTAAAGCACACCGTTCCACACTCTCCTGAACAGGCTGGTTTCCTTACAAAGAAATTAGCCGAGGATGTGGCATATAAACACATTTCCAAGTGGCAAGCCAAGTTTTGAATTTGCAGCACAGCAGTTCCTCAGCAGTAGCCCCATGTTTCTAGCCCATGAAAAATGCAAGGTGGCTTAAAGGGCCTTGCTCAAAGATTTCAGTAGCCTGTGGTGACACATGAAGCCTATCTCATCGTAACTTGCTTATATGCTTTATCCTCACATTAAAACATCTGCTAAGTCGACAGTTTTATAGTGCTTACACACAGTCGTAGCAAAATCAGTTCTGCCTGGAAGAAGCCAATGCCCTCCTTCTCAGGGTGGGCTGTTTCCATGCCAAGCCAGAGTCTCAGTCATTTGGGCTCCACCTCCCCTCCAACCAAACCAAATCAAAATGTCTAAAGGGTTTTTTACAACAGCAGGAGTTGCCCAATTCCCTTCTTTCTAAGGACTGGCAGAATCATGTCACATCGATTTAGGGGAAAGAGGGTGGGGAGACACACACACGATCCCATTTCATTTCATGTTACTAATGATGGAAAATGACAACTTCAAATAGAGTTTTAATTTCAAACAAAGTAGTTTTCAAACTTACCTGCTGTCTTGAGGATAAAAGTGGGATGTCTGTGACAGTTGTAAAACGGGTATCTTGGTCTATACAGTAGCTCTGCAGCCAGGGATCACAGATGGTTTGTGGTGGTGGGAAGACTCTGCTCTTAGGGCCTGCAGACTTACTGTACTTGCAGAATTCCACCTTAAAAGTAATTGGACGTGTCTGTAGCTCAGAGAAGGTTTGCTAAGCAATGACACATTGCACTTGGATCTGGAAGCATAACATCTGGAAGCCAAATGTTAGAGGCGATATAAAAGGGCCAGCCCAACAAACCAGTGGGGCATTTCTAAGTCAGGAACATCCTCAGGATGGACCTCGTCGTTCTCTGTGTATTCCTGCCTCTGGTGACTGTGGCATGGGGCCAGTATGGTGACTATTACTATGGCCCCTATAACTATGGAGATAATGATGAATGGGTCAATGTGTACCGCCAGGGTTTCAACTTCCAGTGCCCACATGGGCAGGTGATTGTGGCCGTCAGGAGTGTTTTCAGCAAGAAGGAAGGCTCCGACAGACTGTGGAACTACGCCTGCATGCCAGCAGCCCAGAGCCTCGGTGAGCCGACAGAGTGCTGGTGGGAGGAGATCAACAGGGCAGGAACCGAATGGTAGGATACCCCCAATCACCCCTGGAGGGCACAGCCCTGATACTCACTGTGGAATGTGGGTACTAATACTGCAGTCAGAGCAATGCAAACGCATATTAATGCCATCATGACCAGCAGCTTCACTGCCCTGAAGAGCTGCCTGAGTCTCATTAATCACGATGCATGTGTGTGAGGTGATCAGCATCACATTTGCCTTCTCTGTAGCAATTTCTTGCTGGAGGGTTTCAGCATGCTTTAGAAATGTATGTCATTTGGTCACTCACAACCTCAGCTGCAAAGTGGTCTTGCTATTGTTGTTTCACAGATGAGGAAAATGAGGCATGAACCTTCAGTGAGGAGAGGGTAAAGTCCCTCTAGAAAGGCCACATACTGAATCAGTGATTAAACTGGGGAACAAATTGTAAAACTCCTCACTCCAACCTTCTGCTCTTATCTCTAAAAAAAAAAAATTCTTCTCGGTATTACACTGGCTTTTTTCTTTGTGTTCTTGTTGCTAAGCTTTTTGGCTTAGGCCCAGTCAAAGGCTGTTTTCTAGTCGTGCTGTTATTACAGGAGCCAAAAATCCACACTAATGAGCGATGACGGTGGCATATATATGCATGATAATGATAGCAGATCATGTTCATTCCTTAATGCACTCAGTTTTGGTTAACTAAATGTTACGTTTTCCACCAACCTTAGAGGCAAAGGTCATCACATTTCATGGCCACAATAATTTCTGGAAATATGTATGGTGTTTTGTGTTTAGGCAGCACATACCCAGTATTTAATTATCTTCTGAATTTTTCATGAAACATGAAACAGTTTTGAAAACTCTGAGTTTGAAATATTCTTTGGATAGAATGAAATGAATGCAAGAATATTTTCAAATACTTGAAATGGTTTTGCTCCAGAAATTGCAGTGTGATTTTTGTAGATTTCACATTATATGGGTTAACAATGAAATGTGAAGCTTCTGCTTTTTAAATGATTCAAAATTTTGTTCTGAATTATTCATACTCTTTCATTTACCACGTGATACATTCCTATGGCTGATGCAATTGCTAAGGAAAAAAAGATTGACCCTATACTTAATTTCTGAATAAGAACTGAAAAGAAAAGAGGAGGGCTGCAAAACAGGCAGAAAGAAGACACTGTGATAACACTGGATGACTTCTTCATCTTTCATACATTGATGCAATTTCTACTTATTGCATATTTTGAATTAGACCTTTCTATTGTTCAAAATAAAATTATTATTATTCTCTTTCTAAAAATCCCTGGCAGCAACTGCTCAAGTTTATTTTTCACAAACAGGGTACAATGAAGAAGGTACCCAGAAGAAAGTTTTCTTCTGCTATCTAACCATGGCACCACATTCATCACCATGCTCCATATGCTTAGCATGACTACATCCACAGTGTATTATCTAGACTCTCATTTCCCTCACCTCTTCAAAAAAATCTTTCTACTTTGTCTTCCTCCTTGCCTACATTTTTTCCTATTGCCAACCCTACCTTTTCTCCAAATGGTTTCCTTTTCCAACCCCTCTTTAATGTCTCTTTCCTAGCTTTGGAGTTATTTATTTCTTCCCTAGCTCACCTTTCCAGTCCAATATTCTTACATCTACCTGTCTTCTCTGCATAGATCTCCTTCATCCTTTCTTCTGTTTTTAACGGCGGGGGGAATACACCAAAGTGATTGGGAACACATACCCCTTGGCAAAGGTGAACTTGTGCTCCTAATTACTTTGGCTGTTTCCATACATTTTAGCTAGCTGTGCCTGGTTGTGTTCTGCAGCTTTGTGCACCGAGGGCTGAGCTGGTTGCATCTACAACGCTTCGAGGAGAGAGGCTTGCTATAAGCCAGCACGTCCCTCACTGTGTCCAGGCGCTGCTGCCCAAGCACCCAGGAGGCTTACCCGACTGAAGTGAAAGCGTGGGCCAGCAGGCAGACAGCCTGGAGTGTCTGAGTGCAAACTCAAACCTCAAATTAATGTGATGGCACAGATGTAGCCTGTGGAGCCTTTGACAATCCCACACCTTCTCTCTTGGCAGCCTTACTTCTCATGCCCAGCTCAGTGCTATTTGGAGCCACCCCCAGTTCTAAAGAGATTCACTCAGTAATCAAGTGGGACCACAAATATGAGTCACAATCTGTACCATTACTTCTTGTTTGGCCACCTCTGTTTCCCCGCTGATCTCCTGATGAACCAATCTGTTGGTGAGCAATACATCATCCCCATGTCAGCTGACACGGCACCCTGCTGGACTCACTAGTTCATTCCCCATGCTGGTAGGATGGGCTGTAATATTCCTTCTTCAGCTCTATCTCACGGGGTATTTTGTCTCACCTTGCCCATCACATCCAGGGAGATTAAATGGCTTGTACCACCAATTACTACAAAGCTGCTGAGTTTTCCCTAAAATTTAAGCTACATTTCCTCTGCTGTAATTGAGGCTTTTTATTCCTTGCTCGACCTTCACTAAGTAATGAGAACAAGCACACTGCATCCTTTGTAAAATCTCTTTAACTTATTAACAGGTAGCAGCTATGCCTTTCCCTCCTTTAACCATGCTTTTGCTTTCAGGCTGAACATGTCTCTGTTCTTCTAGTTCTCCTTTAGAAGTCTTATATTCCAACACTCCAAGCAAGCGCTGATCATACATACAGCTCTCCTCTGAATTCCGTCCGGTTTCTCAGCCATGTCCCATAAACTCTAGTCTGGCAGAAACACCAAAAAATGACCTCTGACAAATTATATCTGTGGCATTTCACAAATCACCATTCCTCACTGTTGTCAGGAATGTGCAGCTGCACAAAAGAGACAAACCCAAGAGAGGTTTCTTTAGAAAAGACAACAAACCAAGAAAAGCTTTAGAGCAAAAATCAAGTGGGAATATAAAGCAGAGAGAGGAAAGAGTCTCCAGTTCATTATTTTCTTTGGCCATAAGCACTGGAGGGAAATGGCAGAAATGGATGTGGGGAGTGTAGGGATGGGAGAATTGGGGGGGGACTGGAAGGCAGCAGGGAATCACTGGCAGAGCTGGTTCAGGTAATTTTGCTTCCTACACTAACACGAGGTATTATATGGACTTCTAGGATTAAACCCATAAGACTTTGCATCTTACAGATATGAAAAAAATATTCAACAGAAAGAGGGTAACGACACAGATCCACAATACGCATCTAATCACAATGCCTAATTTATGACCTCTGCCCCCTTCCAGAGTCAATAGAGAGGAGCAGGTACTCTAAAAACTGCTCTCTGCGGCACCCCATCTCTCTCCAGAAGCAGGCTCGTGATGACCAACCATCTCTGACAGTTGCCTAGAATTACCTACTGGCATTTCAGAATACATCTAAGTGCTTCCCTTAATAAATACATTCCTGAAGTTAAGCGTATGTGTACATGCACTTCTGAAGAGAGTATGTTCTTTCATGTTTTGCTGAATGGACATGAGAAACCTGGGAACATTTTATAAGACTCACAGAGAAAATTTTGGCAAGAGATTGGATGAGATGATCAGTGATGCCTTCTCAGCTTAATTAATCTGTCTATATATTTAAAGTTAAGAAGTGTACAAATGCTTTGTTGAATCTGTTCCAACACCTTACTCCTGGCCTTACTGCCACTGCAAAGGCTATCTGATAACTAAGATGCTATTCAATACTGGGAGCAGAATTTGTTCCTGGATGATTTGGAAATACTCATGTCTGGAGCAGAGATAAGTCTTCAGGACATCTCCTGATTCTACACACTCCTACTTATTTATATGCTGCAACATAGCACAGAATCCACCCTTTTCGGACAAAATAAAGCTTATGTAAAAACATAAGCTCCATTTGTACTGGAGGAAGCTTGACCTTGGGTAAATATTTCACCACCTAAGAAAAGGTAAGGTCTGAGTGATTGCAGGTGAGACTGTTCTTCACTGCTTCGCTGAATACTACAGAATTGTCTCTACAGACCAGTCTTTGAACAAGGTACTAAAACTATTTTTCTTGCCTGAAAGCACTAAAGGACAGGGATCAAACAAACAAACGAACAAAAGCTTGCAAGTGAAAGACAAGCAAATCTTCCTTCCCAGGAGAAAATGTTTGCTTTACACCACATAATACAGATGGAACTGTGCCATATCCCCAATATACTCCCAGTTACCCATACGGCACAAAGCAGAAAAGCTTCCAGCCAAGTGGTATTTAATGCATGTTTATTGCCTCTTTTCCTTGTTTAGGCTTCTGAGAAAGCATTTCGATGTGACTTCAAAAAAACAGATACCTAGATTCTCCCTCCCCACTCCCATTCTCACTCGCCTTTGCCTTCTCTTTAAGTGCACAAACACACAGATGCAGATCCTTCAAGTAGGCACACAACTCTATTTCCTACAAACCGGGTGCAAAGAGAGATTCGTGATCAAAGGAAGTGTCTGCAGGAGCCTCCTGTTCAGGCACTGGCAGCACACCCTGGAACATATGCAAGGAACTGTTTTTGTTCTCAATCTCTGACCAATCCCAAGTCTCAAATCTGAGGCTGTATTACCCAAACCTGATAATCAAGCTGCCCTTTCAAAATGTTCCCATTCGTGCTATCTACACAAACAAGTTAATTTTCTTCAAAGCTCTAGGCTTATGTTAAAGGGATAGTGCTACAAGCTCTTAGCACAGCTGCAATGGACTGAGTCCAGTGGGAGCATCTGAGGAGAAGCGGGGTATTTCTGTAGATAGGCGGGCCTCATCAGTGTCTGTCAGGAAGAAATCAACAGGGTGATTAGGGCCCTGCCTTCCCTTTGGGTGGGGAGGAGAAAGTCATCACTGACCCCTAAATGAAAGAAAACGATAGCTGAAGATGATAGTGAGGTTGCCTTTGGCATGTGGAAGTCACGACAACACGTCTCACCACCCCACAACAGATAGTGGAGACTCCTTGTAGAAGTGGCCATTGGAGACTGGCAGGGCCCAATCAAACATGGAGAAGTCATTCCCTTCATCTGAGTGCCAGCGTTTCAAGTGCCCTGAGCCTGCCATCAGCCTCTTATCTTTCCCCACTCATCTGTAACAGACGGACCATTAAATTAGCTTTCATCATGCAACTAACCAAATTACACAGAGGAGAACACTCCACAAAAATAACTCAGGACAGCAGGACAGGGCTTCCCCTCCACAGCTGTATCAGAAGGAAATTAAGTTTTGGATATTGAAAGTAACAGGTTTTGGTGAAACAATACTCCAGGAAAACAGTCTATCTAATGTCTTATTAAAAAATGCCTCCCACACTCTAACCGTGGTCTTATGGGCAGCGTGAGGTTAGGCCACCTCTCTGTATACCCTCCAGGAAAGACTGCAGATGAAAGCATGCAGCATTATTTCTGTTGGGTGAGTTGCCAAGTCTGACATGTCTCCATAATATATAGATCCATTCTGGTGTGATGGGCTCTAGAGAGATAGCTTTAAAGTAATTAATGATGCAAATTTTACAGGAGCCATCTGCTCTACAGCAAAACAGTAGGATTTTTTTGAAGTACATAGAATGACACTCTCAGGTTACCCGGCTATAAGGAACAAATCAACCTTAATGCAGCATGTCCCAGGGACTAATGAGCTGTGTGTCAGACTCTGCATGTTTCCAGAGAGCTTCAGGGAGTGCTACCCGGTCAGTGTGGCAGGGGCTCAATGCAGGCTCCAATAGCACCACTTACTGCACCTTGGCTTAGGCTCCCCTGAGCAGATTTGTAATGAACAGGCTTCCTCTTTAGGTTGTCATCCTTAGGACAACACACTGCTCAGGTTAATTCCTGACGTATCTGAGGGACAGAGGACAGCCGAGACAGATTTACAACACAGCACCAGTATTACATGGGGCACAACACTCTGGGGCTTTGTCTAGCAAAAAGCAAAAATAAGATGTAGGCATAATTATGAAGTGTCACCACAATTGGTGCCATTGCTCAAAACAATTATACTGTTGCAAGCAATATTTGTCTTCAGTCTACCAGGCAACTGTTGAGTCAATGAGGTACACACTTGGTCACTGAGGCTGTATCAATGTTTGCAAATACTGCGGCACAATTTAAGTGGATCTGTAGGGTGAAACAGTTCCTGCATGGACACAAAATCCACATATGCATTTTGAGTGGGTTTGTTTCAAACCAGCTGTAGTTTGGTCTCACAGATAAATCCTCACTGGTGAACAAGGAAAGCAGTTCTGACCTGAACTAAACCAATATCATAGATGCACGCTTTGGTTGCATGCCATGACAGAATTCAGCTCTATAACACTCATTAACCAGATCAGAAGAAGGTTCAGCAAAGGAGAGGCTTTCCACAGCAATTGCAGCAGGACACGGAAAGTCTCAGCTAGCGTATCCTGTTACTACACGAAACTCCACCCAAAATAAGGCTGTATAGTTTACCGAACTGTTTATGAAACACTGCAGTCATTTCCAACAGATGTAAGTGAGGGAAGGGAAGGGCAACTTCCTATTCAACAGTGCCTGACCCTCACCACCACCAGTCTTCCCACTCCTCCATCTACCAGCCAGCTCACCTCCTCTTCTCCCAGTATCAGATCCAAAAGGCAACTCTTCATGCATCGCAACTTGAGCCAACTAGAAAAACAAAACAACCTATCTATTGCCAAGTTTAATCCCACACAGTCCCAGCTGATTTCTCATGCTCTTCTGCATTCACCTAAGAGGTATCTTCCTCTCAGCAATGACAGGATTTCATGAGTGAGGAGAACCCAGCGATATTAATTATGAATATTGAATTATCCTCCATAACAAAAGTGCAACAGAATGGGTCTAGAGAAAATGGCAATTCTTTTACTTGGCCATAAATCAAAGTTTTCATTCACTGTACTGGTTTGCAGGATTTGCTGTGACAGGAACAGAGAATTCAACAGAGAAGGAAGAAAACCTCACATATTAAGTGTTGTTTCCAGATTAGTGCATAGAGCACCTGACTAAAAAGGTGTGTGAGGAGGGGTTGTTTATTTCCCTTGAAGAATCACTTTCTGCTTGTAGGAGAGAGGCCAGCTCGGAAAAAGAAAGAGAAGAAAATATTTTATATAAGCTCACAAGTAAGCACTCCAATTTCTGAGAGCATCTCTTCATTTTTGGAGGAATATCTGGATTTGACTTGAAAATCAGAAAGATCAGGGAGAAAAATCTTGTATCTCAAAGCTAAAGAAAAGTACTTCAATGTCACTATTATCTTTCTTTTGCTGAACCTAATATTGAGCTTGAATAGCAGATTGCAGGACTTTGTGCATATGAGGTAGAAGTAGAGGGAGAAATGAATATGAGCTTAAAAGTTTTTACTTTTACTTATTTTGAATGTTTTCAAAATAAAATGGCACTTTAATTATAAGACATGACTTGTCTCCAGTTATACTCTCCATCTAAGAAATTTTTAAGGCAACTCCAAATATTTTATTTTTTTTAAACAAACTTTTCATGAGAAGATAGAATCAGGGTCAAAAATAAAGACACCTTCCTTTGGTTCCCAAATATCTATGCATGTAAACATGAGAATGTTATGTCAGCTGGATTTTTTTCAATCCGCTATAGAGAGAAGGGTCCATCAGTGATGTTTTTCTCAAGATGAATCTTTACATCAAAACTGGAGTGTATTAGTAGAGGTGTCAAGAAAATAAGAACTTTTGTAGGGGAAAGGGAGCAGGAAAGAGGGCAGGACTTCCCAGACAGAATGTCAGCAGGTGGGGAGAGAAAAGGAGAAGGAAGAATCTTCCACAAAGACAACTATGGGCAGGAATATCAGATGCTGATCAGTGGGGACGGGAAATCGCAGGGAAATGCTGAGCCTCTGAGAGGAAGTGCAAAGGAAAAGGAGGACTTAATGTTCCCGTTATTGCACCTATGCAAAAGAGCTAGAAAATCTCCCAGGGGCACAAGGACTTGAGCATGTCAGTGGAAAGGACTTGAGGTCAGTGGAAATGCATGTAACTAAGAAGGGGGAGAGGCAGAAAAAGATGGAGAGACACAGTTTTTGTTCTACCTTACACAGATTAATGCAGAAAAGTGCTCATCTTGCAACAGGTACAACCATTCCCTATATTTCTATGTATCAACCTTTCTTCCATCAGGATAACACCAATCATCTGCAGTTATCCAATATGTTTACACAGAGTCTTAGCCATATGTTCCCATGGCCTACGTGCCAAAAAACAGAGCAA